CCGAGCACTCAATAAGATCACTAGGAAGGACGTATACCCCATGCCACGTATCGACGACGCCCTCGATTCCTTACAAGGTGCTGAATTCTTTTCAAGCCTCGACTTACGTTCCGGCTATTGGCAAATCCACATGCACGAAGATGACAAAGAAAAAACGGCGTTTGCAACCCTGGACGGCCTATACGAATTCAATGTTATGCCGTTTGGTCTATGCAATTCGCCCGCAACTTTTGAGCGCTTGATTGACACCGTGCTGCGTGGCCTGAAATGCAAGACTTGCCTATGTTACCTTGATGGCATTGTTGTCTTTTCATCGACGTTTCCTCAACATCTGCAACGCTTGGACGAGATCCTGACTTGCCTTGCGGGCGCTGGTCTTCAAATTAACACCAAGAAGTGCCATTGCGCCAGCAGATCTATCAAGGTCCTCGGTCATGTTGTGAGCAAGGACGTAATTCGTCCAGACCCTGAGAAAACTGCTGCGGTGCTTCGCTTCCCTCGCCCTGAGAAGCCGAAAGATTTGCGGAGTTTCCGTGGTCTCGCCTTTTACTTTCGGCGATTCATACAAAACTTTGCCTTCATAGCCGCACCACTCCATAAGCTACTTGCTTCTGGTACGCCCTTTCAGTGGTCTCAGGAATGTGAATCGGCTTTCGACAGGTTGAAGAGTGCCCTCACGACCGATCCTGTACTTTCTCATTTTCACGATGGTGCACCGACCTTCCTCCATACAGACGCTAGCGGCCACGGTTTAGGAGCCGTCCTCCTCCAGCGCGACAACTCTTAGCGAGAGCGAGTCGTTGCGTACGCCAGCCGCGTCCTCTCCGCAGCCGAGAGTAACTACACGATCACCAAGAAGGAGTGCCTCGTCGTCGTTTGGTCAGTGCAGAAATTTTGTCCCTATCTTCACGGCCGCCATTTCATCATTGTGACCGACCACCACGCTTTATGTTGGCTTTCGACACTCAAGAACTTGTCGGGACGCCTCGGCCGCTGGATTCTACGCCTACAAGAGTATGATTTTGCCATCATATACAAGTGTGGCAGAAAGCATAGTGACGCCGGCGCTCTTTCTCGCTGCCCAATACCAGCGACTCCACTCGGGGTTTCCGCAATCAATTTGCACAACACGCCCTCGGAGTCCACGTCTACGGCGGTTTCCTCTCTCGCCTCTATGGACCAGCTGCCTTCGGACGACCCGCACGATTTTTCTTCTCGACAGCTGGCTGACCCATACTGTCGACGTATTATAGGCTACCTCACTGGCAGTTCCCGTCCACCTGATGCGAGGCTCCTTCGCCAACTCACGCAGTTTAAGCTGGACAACTCGGTACTGTACCGCAAAATTTACCATCCTGACGGTCAGCGCTGGGTTTCCGTTCTACCCCGATCGCTTCGGTCAGAAGTCCTCAGAGCACTTCATGACCATCCGACGGCTGGTCACCTTGGTTACCACAAAACCTACGATCGCCTTCGAAGTCGGTTTTATTGGCCAGGTATTACCACTAGTGTAGCTCGGTACGTTGGGTCCTGCACTACCTGCCAATGTAGAAAACGACCCACATCTGCTCCAGCCGGTACACTACAGCCTTTTCCATGCCCAGCCACACCATTCGAAGTTGAAGGCATCGGTCTTTATGGCCCCCTTCCAGTCAGTGCTGCTGGAAACCGATGGATAGTAACAGCCGTTGACCATTTGACGCGCTACGCCGAGACGGCATCTGTCACTACCGGTTCAGCTTCTGAAATTGCCGACTTTATCCTCCGAGCCATTATACTGCGTCATGGTGCTCCACGTGTATTGCTCAGCGACCGTGGAAGGGCCTTCCTTTCACAACTAGTGAACGAACTTCTTCGCGCCTCTGGCACAACTCACAAGACTGCCTCTAGTTGTCATCCCCAAACTAACAGCCTCACTGAGCGATTCCACCGCACTCTTGCTGACATGATCGCCGCCTACATTCAACCAGACCACAAGAACTGGGATGTAGTTCTACCATTCGTCACTTTCGCCTACAATACGGCTATTCAGCGAACAACCGGCTACTCACCATTTTACCTAGTTTATGGACGCTCCCCTACTTCTTTGCTGGACGTCTCTTTCTTTAGCTGCCATGCGGATTCATCTCCATCCTCTTCAGAGGAATACGTTTTGTGGCTCGCAGAGAGCCACCAACGTGCTCGTATAAACACTGAAGCCCGACAACAAGACAGAAAGCTGGTTTATGATGAATCGCATCGTGCTGTATCCTTTCAACCTGGAGACGAAGTGCTCCTTTTGACGCCTATTCTCACACCTGGTTTGTGCGACAAGTTTCAGCCACGATTTATCGAGCCGTACACAGTTCTTGAAGAAACTTCACCAGTGAATTATCGCGTGACGCCACTTGTAGCCCCAGCAGATCGCCGTTATCGAACTACAGAGGTCGTCCATGTCTCCCATATGAAGCCCTTCATGCGACGTTCTTTGTCCCCTTGACTTGCTGCGGCCAGGCTGGCCGCTTGCACAAGGGGGAATCAGTGTGGGCATTTAGTATACCAATCCTCTTCATCTGTACATTATCATCATTATCATGTATTGCTCATGCATCCTCATCGTTGTCACGTATCATCATCATCTTGGTTCGTACATCTCCGCTGTCGGCTGCCGGTTCCTCGGGCCTAATAAAGGTCTTCCAAACCAAGACTTCATAATATATTCATCACTTCGTGGGTCGCTGTAATGGCACAGTGGCTTGCGCACTGGCCTGCGGAAAGTACAGATATTCGGAATACTCAGTGGCCACCTTTGTTATGACGCTAGCCATAAGGGTCTATGCATGCGCTTGGCCGTAAATAAACTTGAAAGGCACAGGATTGGACATTTGCTGTGATCTAATGCATTCCGTCATTTTCTCGTGCTGTTCTGCTCGCGAAAGCTCGTGCTCAAAGGTGAAAAAAAAGTCTCACGCTGCACTGGGCTGAACCCACAAGTACACTGCCTATACAACCCACTGCACATGTGGAGATTTTACTTTCAAAACCACGGCCACTTTAACTTTACCAACTTCTTAGGAGCTTAGAAACAGTGATGTAGGCAGCGAAGAACTTTATTTCTTGCATGACAGCATTGCAAATACAATAAAACACGTCACAACACTAAAAATTGACTAGAGTATCCTTGTCTGGCACGCAGTAAAACAATGCTTGCATCGCCATGTCACATCAGTGATAGTTATGAACACCTACAGTTTTCAACTGGATATTGACTGCATAATTTGTGGGCCGTTTGTTTGCCCCGGCTTTCTCGTCACAAACAGCGTAGAATTACGAAAAGATCTATCCCATTAAATGTCAAAAGACGCGTTTTTATAATTCACAGCCATTAAACACTGCCACCATACAAATGTAATAAAAATATTCACAGGTAGAGCCAAATTAGGAGCGCAGTTTATACGTGTTCATTTGACATGCACGAAAATGAGTGACTCACAGCGGTGAAAACGTGACCACAGTTATAGGGACAAGAGGCGAAGATTCTACGCAACAGCGTGCTATTCGGCGATAATGAGAGTTCGTGCATGTTCTATTTCTCAGCTGTAGCCCCCACGAGGCTCATTCGAAAATGAAACAAATCCGCAACTTTTTCACTTCTGGATTGTGTGCCACCAAAAACAGCCGGCACGGAACGCACTATGTCAAATCGAGATCTTACACGATGGCAACAAGCTTCATGTCAAGTACTGAACGTGTCCTAACCCTACACTAAAAAAACTGTTTCGGAGGTGAAAGAAACTGGTGGAAAGACAGAGACGTTAGCCATTTTTCAGGCTGGCTAGTATTCTTCCAGCATAAAGAAGAGCATCCCAAAAGTTATGACAAAGCCATCACACCACGACATAGCAGCACGTTCCTGGTTTTCAATGCGCTCCGCAGCCCCTTTAAGGCAAGCCGTAGTCAAAAGCGGCAACTTCATTCGCATGCACTGAAATCACTGCTATTACCTTCAAAGTGGACATTCATAGGTGCTTAAAGGTTGTTTTCGGATCTCCGTACTATACCTAATTTGCATAACATGCATGAAGTGCTTCCTGGCTGTGCATAATGAATGCAAGTAATTGCTAAAATTTAGTAGCCTTAGTACAAACCACAAATATCAGCGATGCACTGACACGTGGGGTATGACGCCCCACAACCGTCATATTATTATGAGAGACGCCGTAGTAGAGGGCTCCGGAAATTTCGACCACCTGGGGTTCCTTAACGTGCACCCAAATCTGAGCACATGGGCCTACAACATTTTCGCCTCCCTCGAAAATACAGCTAGCGACGCATTGAGTGTTAGTGCATACAGATGGTGCGGGAATTCATTGTGAATGGAATTTAAAGGTGACCACTTTTCGACAAACAATAGTGCAAAATTATGGGCTTATACGTAGAAAAGCCACAATAAAGAAGTGAGGCATGCTGCAGAGGGAGTCAAGTAACCCTGAAAACCTAGGTTTTTTTTTTTCTTGAAAATAAGTGACGTGAAAACATCAACACAAGGGAGGTGTCGAGGCACCACAATTGTTGTGGTGCTTCTGGTGACATTTCGCTTGTGTACGCGTTCGCACATTTCCTGTTTAAAGTTTATAGCGTAGGAACTATTTAACTTCCTGCTATTCTAACAAAGGCGCTCTTAATTTTACTGTTATCAGAACACGACCGCCAAGACCAGCAGCCAAACCTGTACATAAACCTTTAAGAGCAACACATCATCCTCGAGAAGACACGCTGTTGGTTGCATTAAGGCGTTTCTAACATCGTATGGTTTTCTGCTTTGAAACAACGAGGAATGGACGCAATTCTCCAAATGTCCACTTTGTTCTTTTCAATGGTCAGAAAAGTTATCAGTTTTTTAACTCTGCTTTTATCAGACCTCACAATAGTTGATAAAACTGTACGCCATACACAAAACGTAGTCGCGTACGCAAGGACTCCACATAGCCGAGGATGCCGCACAAAGCGGCGACTCTCACCTCTGAGACTGTTTCCATCGCATGGACGTCGGTTCTGCAACGGCACAACAGCAAAAGTTCAGGCCTGCGTTGTGTAATCGAAGGAAAAAAATCGATGTTCCAGCTAACGGCTCCGTATGCCAATCAGCCGAGGCGCTGCGCTGACGATCGCCGTAAAGGTCAGCAACGTCTCTTCACCTGCAGTGGTCGTTATAATGTCGCTGCTTCGTATGCTCTCCGCAGCTGCCTTAAAAGGCGCCTCCCGAGAGAAACAGAGCGGATGGATGGGAGCTTGTTGATAGTCGGCGCTGGCCTTTCTAAGATGCGCCTAAACATTAATTAGGAGTGAACGAACAAAAAAAGAAGCCCTCCAGATTTTTGATTGGGCGCCTAGCACAATTTTTCATTGTATTTTGTTTGGTGACGTATTTGCGCGTTCTTTTTAGGGGTGTGTTTAGAAAAAGTGGGTAACAACTTAAAGTACTAAGTACTCTACTATGGGAGAGCATAAAGCCGTCCAGTGATACCAAGTGACGGTTTGTTTCCGGGGCTCGAAACAACACGGGTCACTTAATGGCCCGATCAAGCATAAGACACAGATTACCTTCACTAAAAACGTACGTGATTGTTCAGGTCGTGCGCAGTTTTACTTTGTTAGAAATTCATCTAACGTGTCTCGGGATTCCGTAAAAGCGATGCTTTACTTGGCGTTTTCCTGCTGAAATAAAGTTTGCAAATATCGATATCCGGATCGCTCTAACTGTTTCAACCGGTCGGGAGCATGAATAGCATGTGGAGGCGCTTGAGGAACGGAATTAAAAATTGGTGGAGACTTCAGCTTCGGCTTCAGGAGTACATCGCAACAGCGTAATCGACTGTCGTGCGCAGTGCCTTGTGAACCGCTAGCCTGTTTTGCTTCTCAGTGCATGCCTCAACCGTGCCGAAAACAAATGAACCACCATGCGCGTAACGTTAGTCGTTTATTAGTACCATTGAATGCCTGTTACCCCCGTATTCACAGACGCTACTCGACTCGATCTCCATCCTTCACTTGACAGAGTTGCGCACTAGCGCCATTGCTCCGGTTGAGAATGACACTGCGCTACTCAAGAATCGCAGCAGATTATTTTAAACATGCAGTGACTTGCCGTGCCTACAGGCGGCGCTCCCACCGCCTTTCTCAGGTGAAGGTGAAGCGTTGAGTGAAGGGACGTTCTTGAATACGGGGGTTAGTCTGTTGCAAGCACGGCTATATAGTGCCCACTACGCTGTAATTATTCCTTTTGCGATCGGCTAAGGGCCGGGCCACTAAGTGCTCGTACGGCAACACGAGAACTTACGGATACTGTTCACGTTGCGGATGGTTCTGCTACTGATTATGATTAAATATGCCGGAGCGTTTCGTAATGGCTGGGCTTTCGAAATATCCACTCATTGCCCAACTCTCCTCTTTTTGACGCCTGGTGCCATTATACTCTACTGCCGCACAATATATGATGCGTCAGGAAAACTGCTCCCTGAAACATCGGCGCGCCATTGAAGGCAGAAAACTGTTCAAATTGACCTTAGCTAAGACTGTGTGAATGGACAGTTTTAAATAATCTTCAAGTCGGCTTTCCTGTAAGGTTTGTTGCACAACCAAGAACTCTCGTTCACAGACTGCTTTTCTCGCTTATTGTGTTGTACTCGCGTGCTCGCGTGCCTTCGCTGCACAATGAGCGAGAAAAGCAGCCTGTGCACGAGAGTTCTTGGTTGGAAAACAAGCCTTACAGGAAAGCCGACTTGCAGATTATTGCAAAGTGTCCTTAAAGCCGAAGTACTTGTATTTTTACTTATGGTCTGCTGCAACTCTTTTGTGCTTAACTTGCTTTTTTTTATTATTCTCTACCCTCTGCAGTGCAATAGCCTTCAGGGTATTAGTTGATTAAATAGTTATGAGAGACGCCGTGGTGTAGGGCTCCGGAAATTATGACCATCTGGTGTCCTTTAACGTACGCTCGCATCGCACAGTAACTACATGCGCCTCTACCGCTTCGCCTCCACCGAAAAGCGATCGCCAAGGCCATAATCGGGTCCGTGATTTTCGGGTCAGGGGCCAACCACCTAACATAATAGAAGCCCAGCACAAAAACGGCAGGAAAGAAAGGAGGAGACCAGGACAGAGCGGTGACTCACAACTAATCTTTATTTAGAAATGCGAACACATATATATCACGGCAGGCAAATAACACGTGTCCACCACAATGTCACAAATGTCGCGCGAACGTCACCATCCCCGTGTCGCCAGTCTAACACGCGTAGACACGTGTTATTTGATAATGTGTTATTTGTTATGATATATATGTGTTCGCAGTTCTAATTAAAGAATAATTGTTAGTCTCCACTTTGTCCTGCCTCCGCCTTTGTTTCCTGCCGTTTTTGAGCTGGGCTTTTATTATGTATGTGAACCAACTCACCCACGCTTTAACCTTAGCGAACACCTAAACCGTGGCAGACAGACGAATTTCTGCTCTGCTACCTTCGATTTCATAGTTGAAACAAAAACAACACCGTGTTAGTATATCATTCTTTCAATAGTGTTTAGTTTTCTTGGTTCTAAATCCACCATTCGTTTCCGACCTACATCGCGTCTGTCATTGTGATCGCTTGCTTCTCAGGCAGTTTAGGTTGTTCGATTATTTATCTTGTTTTCATATGAAGTTTCTCTGTATCTAAGGTTTATAAGATTTAACGTTAAACATACCGCCTTCCGGTTCTTGGTTCATCCGTCTTTGCAGGTGAGCGCCATGATAAATAGAACGCCGAGATCATCAAGCCTTTTGATGACCTCGGCCAGCGTAATGATGTTTACCAGCGCAATCTATAAAGTGCAGATCAATGTGCAAGTCATTATACTATGTATAGGTATGCTAGCCGGTGACCGCCTTAACTAGAATGAGACAGGTAGCTGGTACGCTAATGCACCACCATTGTAGGTGCGGCAAAATGCCTGGGGGTCCATGAGTGCGGCGAGCATCGTCCGTATCTGTGCCCATAGGCCAGGCCAAGTATAAAGGTATAGTTGATCGCCCCGCACCACCACTGAGATACCACGTTTCTACGTGGTGGCTCTGCGATATACTAAACACTATACACACTGTGTATGCTATACAGTAACTCTACTAAACACTAGATATACTGTACATGCTACCTTTAGGTAGGGAACACGTACAGTAATTTAACTAAACACCCGCGCAAACTAGACGCATTTCTCATCACAACGCGGCCCACGAAGTGCTACTTCAATTTTAGGACTGCTATCTCGCAAGCTAGAAATTTGATTAGCTACATGAAAATATTCATACACACTGCCAACTTAAGAAAGATATTCATTAAAAGTATACTGAACAACTGCTTTCATTTCAACTGGACTAGCATCTATTGAGCCAGTCTAGTTTTTCTGAATTATACGAAGACATTTTACTGCTCAAAACCGAAGCGTGCACGGTGGTTTGATCTATCGTAACATGCGCTCATGTCGGTCGGGACGTCGACGTTATAAGCAGTTTCCTCCCGCTTATTATCCTCGCCGTCTTGATTTCGCAACGGGACGGCTATATGCTCTCCCATAGTATAGTACTTTGTATTCTTAATTGTTACTTACTTTTTGTTAACACACACCAAATATGAGGCTCAAGGGGTGGCTTGCAGCTCTCCCATAGTAAAGTACTGAGTACTCTAAATCGTTAAACATCCGTCTCCGCAGAGTTTACAAATACGCGCTAGGCATTGCAATCTATACCTCTAACAGACTACTCCACCAGACAGGAGTCATAAATACCCTATGTGAAATCCATGAAGCCCATTTAACAGCTCAATACGCAAGGCTCGTGACGACTAGTGTAGGTCGCCACAGTTTATCGTCTACACGAATTAACGTCACCTCACTAACCAATGCTAAATACAACATTCCCCAAAACACACGCAAACAATTACTCATACCGCCCTTCCTAAAAACATGCATCCAACATATCATACTAAGCGTAGAATACAAAGAGCAAAAGCTCTTCAGAAAAATTGCATGGAGCCAAGGACGTGCTCTATGTCGATGCGGCAGAATACCCATCCTCCTCATCCTATGCCCTTTCTGCTGTCGACTATAACGGCAAGGCGCTCACAGCGGCATTCATCACTGTCAACTCTTCGGAGGAGGCAGAGGAGGCTGCCATCGCTTTAGGTCTATCCGTCCCCAATATCACTATGATTGTAAGTGACTCCAAAACTGCCATACGCAACTTCAGCACAGGTCGCATCTCATCAACTGCCCTTTCAATTCTTAAGAAACATCCTTCTACGCAAGACGTTGCTGTCATATGGACGCCCGCGCATGCGGGGTTAAGTGGCAATGAGGCGGCTCATACCTGTGCTCGAGGAATACCTGGCTCATACCTGGCCGAGCGCAGGCCTCTGATGGCGCCTTAAACCACGCGGCCTTTTTCAGCGTGAGAGATCGTCTTTTGACTTTCCACGATATAACAAATCACTACCGCATACAGCGCACTATATACACTCCCTTACATCATGGAGCTTGGCGCTACCATGAAATACTATGGCGCCAATTACAGGCCCGTACGTTTCCTACCCCATTTTTTCGCCATCTTATACACCCTACGATATATCCCTCCCCTTTGTGCATTTTCTGTCAACAAAGAGCTAACCTAGACCATATCATGTGGGTTTGTACTCGAAACCCACCACCTAATTCTCTACACATTAATACTAAGGAGTAGTGGGAGGCTGCTATGTGCAGCTCGGCGCCCGAGGTCCAGGACCAGATCTTGGATTGGGGCAAGAGGGTAGCGGAGACCTACGCTGGGTAGGCTCCTCTGACACTCCACCACCGCACCTTTCCCTCTTGGGATAAATAAAGTTTTTTTTTTCCTCCTCCTCCTCTAAATCGTTAACCACTTTAAATGAAGCAGCGTTTCTTAGGCCCGTATTCACAAATCATGCAACCTCGGCCTTACCTCACGTTTTCCTTAACTTCCTGTACTCTCTACATGACTTATAAAGACACAAAAATGGTATCAGGGCGAAAGGTAAGGACAAGGCTGGTTCATGTGGACGGGTCCAATTTATTTATCCTGTGCAATAAAGGTTTCAAACTGATAAGGAGAACTCGAGGAAAGCATGAGGTTCGTTTGTGAATACGGGCCTTAGTTGCACGATGTCGCGCGTC